ATGCGCCTTAAATAACAACATGGGGAGGGATCACTGTCCCTGTCAAATACTCACTGCAGTAGTCCCCCCTTATCCACAGAGGATACATTCTAAGACCCCTGTGGATGCCTGACACAGCGGGTAGTACTGAACCCTAATGCCATCAATCGGAACACATTTAGTTAAGATGCCTTTTCCATCCTAATCTAAGCACGTGTCATTCACTGTGGCCCCAACTTTGCAGTTTGATGTGTGACATCAAAACTAACACAAGTTTCTTCTTCCATTTCACAACTCCGCAGATAGAAGATTCATTCGTACATCTTAGCAACCTCAGCATACGATTTATTTCTTTCCTCAAATCAAGAGCTTTCACCTTTTTACGTAAGGAAGCACTGTACGGCTTCTCTTCGGCATTTCCAGATTGCCAGCATCATGGCTTTTGTGCTTTGGGGCCATTATTAAGTCAAATAAGGACGACTTGAACACAAGCACTGCTGTACCACAGCAGTCAACCTGATTACCCAGACGGCTACTAAGTGACTAACTGGCTACTAAGTGTCCAACCGGCTGATAACCAAGGGGGGCTATTAAGTGATGCGGGGGCGTGGTGCACACAGCCTGGACCTGCCCAGCAAAGGGATGAGTCACATCCCAGGGGGAAACAGAGGTGGCGCAAGATCTCACCACGCTGCTAAGAAGGGCAGGCGATTTAAAACTCAGGGCTGTCCGTTTCTGAAATTTTCCTTTTCATGTTTTCCGAAGGAGGTTGACCATGGGTAACTGAAACCGCGATAAGGGGGGGCCAACTGTATCTCCCTAAAGCAGAGCACTGAAGAATGTGCTAATCAGGAACTAAGTGCAGTTTAAACTAGAGAAACCCAATTCCTTTGTCTCTCACCCGTTTTTTTCTCATCTTTCTTCCCAACCTGAAGTTTGAAAGAAAAAGGAGATGTGATCAAAGATAGAAACTGCCGGTTTTTGGTTCTATCACTTTGCAGATCAAAAAGTACTTTCAGGGCAATTTCCACTCCTCAGCTGCTTTTCAAAGTTCCCCTCAAAATGTCTAGGGCGACAGCTTACTGGGAACCCGGCTTCATACTTTTTGCAAATAGTTAAAAGGGAAGGGAGAATAAGCGAGGGAAGGGGTGAGAGAGAAGTAGGGAAGTGAGAGGAGGAGAGACAGAAAGAAAAGGTAAACAGTGACGAGATGGCACAAATTAGAAACAGCAACGAGAGCAGCTGTCGGTCCCTGTTCTCGGCCACCCTGTTCTCAGTTGGGACTAGACCTTAGTTTTGTATCTTCCGTAGTTAAAAGGAAGTGGACAAAGTAACTGTTTTGAGATCATTTGAGACTTTCTCAGGGCAAGGTATGGCCAGTTGTGTAGGAACTAAGTTTTACCATCTTTAGTTTTCTGTGAAACTGCTTTTTTACACAAAACTGTTATTTTTCATTTGATCTGCTTTTTTGTGACAAAGCAGATCAAATGAAAAGTATTGTTTTCCATGTAACCTCCCAATTAATGTGAACTCACATTAATCTTAATTTTAAATTAAATTGAACTTTTTGATCCCCCACACACATATACTCGATTATGTTGGGATTTTACCACAAAAAGAAATAAATTTCCAAAAAATGACAAATTAAGCATTAATAATTACATCTTGATGACACTTCGACCAGGTAATAAACTCTTAAATAGATTTTTGTACATAAAAATTCTGAAAGGACTTCCAATTCCTGTTGCTGAAGTAGACATATGGCAAGAAACCACAGTCCAGTCCCAATCTACCAACCATAAAATTGCTCTGACTTCAGAAAGGAAGGAAGCCTACAAAATACCACAGCACCCTCATCCTCCCACCCTCCTAACCATATAAGGCCTCATCTTGTGTTTCCGACACTAGGACTCCATGGAAGTAGGATTGCCGTTTTGTGGAGTTAACTTTAAAAATTGTACGTCCATGGTAGACAGAAGCCTAGCTTCAGTGCTTAGGGTCTACATGGCTTTCAGGAGCACAGCACGATCTGCTTAAGGTGGGCACCCCATTAGACCTCTGGTAGAAAACCCAGGGCTAAGCGATTTCATCCCCTCTCTCATCCTCATTCAGTGTGAAGTGCACAAGATTCAAGAAAAGATCTTATTATAGAAGATTATCTGCTGGCCAGAACTCATTGCAATCAGATCAATGAGGCATTGTTTCTAGAGGCCTCTCCAAGCACCTGAAATGGCTTTTTATTAAACAGAACCTCTCTTTGTAATAGGATTTTACCTGGTTGTACTTTTGAGACTAGCACTTTGGAAAGAAAAGACCTTCCTTAGAAAAACACCTTAAATATAAACATCCCAATGCAAGAAACCTGGGGGAAAAGGCTAAACTATTGGAAGAGATAGTTACACCTGGAAGAGACTACTGCGATTTAGTCTGAAAAGCATATATTGCTGAAGTGCTGCTTTCACAAAAGGGTACGATCAGCTTTTTGACTGTTGCTTCCATTCTTTTTTACAAAATAGAATATTATTTTAAGGACACAGGCATAGCAGTTTACAAGTTCACCATGGCCATAAGAATGGCTGAGATCATTGTATTAAAGAGCTTTCTGCTGCAGGACCAGTTTTTACTTTTAACAACTTGTTACATTCTCAAGAATTTTGGAAATTACACTGCACAAGAGTTTAGAAATGTAGCTGACCATAACGTAATCTATAAATGCAACTACTAAAGGAATGGAGTTGTGTCTTTAATAAAGTAAGTAATGAGAGGACAGTTCCAAATATTTACATAATCTAGCATGACGTGCACATTGTTTTCTACTAATTAGGCAAGTCTGGAGCTGAACAAGTGTTCTGACTAGCCACTTACAGGGCAATTTAATGCAACATCTGATCCTAGATGGGATCTTATACTAGAAGGAAAAAGTGTGCTCTCTATCAAGGGCCTTACTGGTTCAATATACGATAGGAATATGAATGGCAAAGTATTGTAACTATGTTAAATTTATTGAGGTTGAAAACTGTACTATGTTTCTGCAAGAAAGTATCCTTACTCTTATTGAAATACACACTGAAGTATCAAGGGATAAAGGACGATGAAATGATTCAGAAAAATTATTTTGTGTATGTATGTATGTGTATATATACACATATATACACTATATTATACACACATTTAAACCATCCTATAATACATATTTTATAATATAAAATATCTATATTTTTACATAAAGCAAATGACAAAGCAAAAGAGAAAAATGTTAGCAATAGGTCAATCTGGGCATAGGTATATAGATATTCTTTGTACTCTTGTAACTTTTCCATGAGTTCGGAATTATGTGCAAGTAAAAAGTTTTTTTTTTTTTTTTTTTTTAAATTAAAAAGATGGGGAAATTGAAGCTTTCCAGTAAAGAGTTGTCTTATTCAAGCCTATGCAGGCTCTATCCCAAGTAGGATTTTCAGCTCTAGTCTGATTTTCACTTGGCTTTTGACCATGCACGCATGTCGGCAAGGGGAAGCAAAATGAATTTTGTTCTGTTTTTTTTTTAAAAACTTTCCCTAAATTTTCAATTATAAAAGTAGCATGTGCTTATTATAGAAAACTTGGGGAAAGTACAGAAAACTAATAAAGAAGGAAAAAACTCACATAAATTCCACCACACTGGAAAAAAAATCATTTTGGCATATTTCTTTTCAATCTTTATTCTAAAGTTTTAAGAGAACTGAAATTATATTTTATTAAGTATATAGCTTTTTTTTCTTTAACCTAGTATAGACATTTTCCTATGTCATGGGTAAAACAAAAACTTCATAAAATCTTCAATGTCATCATAAGATTCCATTAGGCCATAATTTACTTAGTTATTCCCTAAAATTGGACTTGTGGTTATTTCTAATTTTTTATTATATGTAATGCTGAGTTAAAAGTTTAAAATCTTTATGCTTGAATCTTTTTTTTGGTATTTCTGATTTACACCTTTATGACAGATTCACAAAAATAGAATCGATGGGCCAAATGGAATAAACACTTTTAAGACTCAATACAAAAGGCCTAATTGCTTTTTAGAGAAATAGGCATACATACATCTTTATCTTTAAGGAGAAAAGAGTACCTGAATGAGATGGTCAAAACTAGGCTGAAATTTTATTTAGGACTTAAATAAAGGGAAGTTAGTGCCACAGTCTGAAAACTAGTCTTCAGATCAAACTTAACTCTAGGATAAGTTCTGTAAGCTACTTTTTGCCCTCAAAAGAGGAAAGGCCAAAATATTCCAGCTTTTATCAACACATGCTGACTATTAGGTAAGACATACAAGGCTACTTCAAAAAGTTTATGGGAAAATGGAATTAAAAAATAATATGAATCTTCCATAACTTTTTGAACACCCCTAGAATAGGGCTCAGCCTTATATTATGACCAACATATTATGCTTTGGTTGTCTGTAATCCAAATACCTTCCTATCCTCCTGATAGAAAAGGGATCCTAAAAATTTAAGTGGGCAAAGTGTAAACATGTGAACAAAGTGATAATAATCTAAAAACAAAGTTCAGATTCAAAAAGGCAAGCAGACAAGTTGGGTTTTCCCCTCCTTTTTCTTAGCAGCCCAGTCATGTAGAAAAAGCCAGGGCTCCAACATTCAGGAGACGAGGAGTCTAGTCCTGTTTGTACTGAATAAACAACTGGCTTCTTGTTTGGGTCAATGCAGCCAAACCTCCCTGAACTCAGTTTTCTCATTTGTTAAATGACAAGGTCAAACAAGTCCCTCAGGGTCACTCTCATTTCTCTGATGCTGTAACATTCTCCTGTTTTAAAGGTACCGGGGGGAAAGGGGGAGGAGAGGTTATTTTCTTTTAATGCACTGCTTCTAATGAGATGGTCAATCTCATTTTTCATAATACGACTAGATCAAGTAGCACTTGGTCTACAAAAGAGATTCCACAAACTTGCATTCCTTCAGAAAACAGGGACTAGGGAAAAAGAAGCGGGGAGATCTGCAAGCAAGGGGAACAGACAGAAGGCTCACCATGACCATTGCAGTAGTAGATCCACTTCTCCCGGTTCTGGGTTGGAGTTGTGGACTTCTTCAGCCCCGCCTTTTCCACAATGGCACTGGGATCCTGTCGAGGCCCCTTTTTCAGAGTCCTTGAGCTTTTCCGGATACTGCACACAACTATCACCACAAGTACCAGCAGCAGGAAAAGCACAATCATCCAAGGCAAGTGCTCATTGATATCAAAATGCTTGTGTAGGTTCTGTCTGGGATGGCCCCTCTTGGGGCCCTTGATGGGCGTGCTGGACTTCTCACCCCCAGTGGCCTCCATGGATGGCAGCAGCTTCAGGATGTGTCTGTGGTGGGAGCCTTGCTGGTGGTTGACAACCTGAAGGTTTGGGAGGGTCTTGTTCACATCTTCCTCCCCCCTTACTGAGCTTGTGTTGTCAGAGACTGTCCCTTCCTGGATGCCACTTGGTACCTTTGGTCTAACAGAGGCAGAAGAGTTGGATTCTGTTGAGTTCATGCCTAGAAAAAAGAGTAAGGAGGGGGGAAGAGCTTTTCCATATTTGGGGATCTATATATTCTGTCCTCTCCCTGGTTATCTCCAAACTAGGCTGGATAATAAGAGATGAACTTTGGAGCTTAAGAATAAATTATATCACACATTTTCATAAAGGCCCTGACAGCACCTTTATGCAGAAGGTAAAAACTGAACTGAATGACTAAACTTACTTTCTTGTACCAAGACCAAGGACATCTGCAGGGTTCAACATCTGAGCTTCTCAGCAGATTCTCCTGTACTTCCTACACTGAGTGGACACATGTAAGTTCAGAGCTCTAGTTGACTCAACTGTTTTGATTATTTAGAGAACTAATTCACATTTAATTCTTTTGTTCATTCTCCTCTCTCACCTTTTGACTATTTCATGATGCAATGGTAAAACTGAGAATAGAGATAAGATAAAGGAAAAAGCTCAAATGCAAATACAACTTTGACTAGTGAACCATTTGGTGGGACAAGTCAGTGAATAAAATAAGGCAGGACTTTCTTAGCATCTGCTAACAGATTAAACAAGATTTGGGCTGACAGCTCAGTGGACTTCTTTCAGAGAAGCTTCCACAAGTAGTCTTCATTAAGGAGTGTGAGAGATGGGAATTTTAAGTCCCAAGTGACAGGACCTGGCCTGTATCAGGCCCTGAGAAAATCTGGCCATTTGAGCTTTTGGAGCCTGTTTCTTCATTTCAAAATGGAATTATAAGAAGGGTCATCCTGAAAGTCAAGTGAAGTCACACCTGAGAATATGCTCGGAGGCACAACTCAAGCTGGTTATCATCTCACGAAAACTAAATTCAATCAGAAAGTATTTGAAAATAAAAGCTAAATTTTATAGTCTGCCTGAGGCTCAAATGGAATTCTGAGAAAAACTGGGATGCTTGATGAAGGGCATGAAGTTAAAATCAAGGGAAAAAAATAGTCATTATTTTCCAGATGTGAAGCCTAGTTATCTTCAATCTGATGTAAATTTGCTTGCTTCTTGAAGCTTCTAACTTTGCTTCCCATTCTTTGTCCCACCTCGGATTCAACATTCATCCCTCCCTTCTAGATATATTGGTATTTTCTCTCCTTTTCCCTCTTTGTTTCCTTCTGGCTACGTCTTCCCAGGATTAACTCCATGTTAGAAAACTTTTCATCTGGAAGGAAACTTAAGCATCTAAATTACTCATTTATTTGGCAAGTTTGAAACTGAGAACTGAAGAGGTTAAGTGACTTACATAAGGTCACACGCTGCCCTTGTTTCTGTCAGTTTATTTTCTAGCTTGATGTGACCTAGTTTTTAGATATTTTATGTCTCCTAATAAAAAAAAGCTTCTGAGTCTAAATGTTTCTAATAGGTCCAAAGAAGCCAGATTTAAACAGACACAAAATGCAGGCCCCTTCTCTGAGGGGTGACTTTGGAATACACAAAATAGGGAAAACATCTTCAGTACCAGCCCACTCTTGATCCCTCCACTGGGCTCAAAGCCTTCCTCAAATAATATAATTCATGAGGTTAAGTTANTTAAATAGATTTTTGTACATAAAAATTCTGAAAGGACTTCCAATTCCTGTTGCTGAAGTAGGCATATGGCAAGAAACCACAGTCCAGTCCCAATCTACCAACCATAAAATTGCTCTAACTTCAGAAAGGAAGGAAGCCTACAAAATACCACAGCACCCTCATCCTCCCACCCTCCTAACCATATAAGGCCTCATCTTGTGTTTCCGACACTAGGACTCCATGGAAGTAGGATTGCCGTTTTGTGGAGTTAACTTTAAAAATTGTACGTCCATGGTAGACAGAAGCCTAGCTTCAGTGCTTAGGGTCTACATGGCTTTCAGGAGCACAGCACGATCTGCTTAAGGTGGGCACCCCATTAGACCTCTGGTAGAAAACCCAGGGCTAAGCGATTTCATCCCCTCTCTCATCCTCATTCAGTGTGAAGTGCACAAGATTCAAGAAAAGATCTTATTATAGAAGATTATCTGCTGGCCAGAACTCATTGCAATCAGATCAATGAGGCATTGTTTCTAGAGGCCTCTCCAAGCACCTGAAATGGCTTTTTATTAAACAGAACCTCTCTTTGTAATAGGATTTTACCTGGTTGTACTTTTGAGACTAGCACTTTGGAAAGAAAAGACCTTCCTTAGAAAAACACCTTAAATATAAACATCCCAATGCAAGAAACCTGGGGGAAAAGGCTAAACTATTGGAAGAGATAGTTACACCTGGAAGAGACTACTGCGATTTAGTCTGAAAAGCATATATTGCTGAAGTGCTGCTTTCACAAAAGGGTACGATCAGCTTTTTGACTGTTGCTTCCATTCTTTTTTACAAAATAGAATATTATTTTAAGGACACAGGCATAGCAGTTTACAAGTTCACCATGGCCATAAGAATGGCTGAGATCATTGTATTAAAGAGCTTTCTGCTGCAGGACCAGTTTTTACTTTTAACAACTTGTTACATTCTCAAGAATTTTGGAAATTACACTGCACAAGAGTTTAGAAATGTAGCTGACCATAACGTAATCTATAAATGCAACTACTAAAGGAATGGAGTTGTGTCTTTAATAAAGTAAGTAATGAGAGGACAGTTCCAAATATTTACATAATCTAGCATGACGTGCACATTGTTTTCTACTAATTAGGCAAGTCTGGAGCTGAACAAGTGTTCTGACTAGCCACTTACAGGGCAATTTAATGCAACATCTGATCCTAGATGGGATCTTATACTAGAAGGAAAAAGTGTGCTCTCTATCAAGGGCCTTACTGGTTCAATATACGATAGGAATATGAATGGCAAAGTATTGTAACTATGTTAAATTTATTGAGGTTGAAAACTGTACTATGTTTCTGCAAGAAAGTATCCTTACTCTTATTGAAATACACACTGAAGTATCAAGGGATAAAGGACGATGAAATGATTCAGAAAAATTATTTTGTGTATGTATGTATGTGTATATATACACATATATACACTATATTATACACACATTTAAACCATCCTATAATACATATTTTATAATATAAAATATCTATATTTTTACATAAAGCAAATGACAAAGCAAAAGAGAAAAATGTTAGCAATAGGTCAATCTGGGCATAGGTATATAGATATTCTTTGTACTCTTGTAACTTTTCCATGAGTTCGGAATTATGTGCAAGTAAAAAGTTTTTTTTTTTTTTTTTTTTTAAATTAAAAAGATGGGGAAATTGAAGCCTTGTAACTTTTCCATGAGTTCGGAATTATGTGCAAGTAAAAAGTTTTTTTTTTTTTTTTTTAAATTAAAAAGATGGGGAAATTGAAGCTTTCCAGTAAAGAGTTGTCTTATTCAAGCCTATGCAGGCTCTATCCCAAGTAGGATTTTCAGCTCTAGTCTGATTTTCACTTGGCTTTTGACCATGCACGCATGTCGGCAAGGGGAAGCAAAATGAATTTTGTTCTGTTTTTTTTTTAAAAACTTTCCCTAAATTTTCAATTATAAAAGTAGCATGTGCTTATTATAGAAAACTTGGGGAAAGTACAGAAAACTAATAAAGAAGGAAAAAACTCACATAAATTCCACCACACTGGAAAAAAAATCATTTTGGCATATTTCTTTTCAATCTTTATTCTAAAGTTTTAAGAGAACTGAAATTATATTTTATTAAGTATATAGCTTTTTTTTCTTTAACCTAGTATAGACATTTTCCTATGTCATGGGTAAAACAAAAACTTCATAAAATCTTCAATGTCATCATAAGATTCCATTAGGCCATAATTTACTTAGTTATTCCCTAAAATTGGACTTGTGGTTATTTCTAATTTTTTATTATATGTAATGCTGAGTTAAAAGTTTAAAATCTTTATGCTTGAATCTTTTTTTTGGTATTTCTGATTTACACCTTTATGACAGATTCACAAAAATAGAATCGATGGGCCAAATGGAATAAACACTTTTAAGACTCAATACAAAAGGCCTAATTGCTTTTTAGAGAAATAGGCATACATACATCTTTATCTTTAAGGAGAAAAGAGTACCTGAATGAGATGGTCAAAACTAGGCTGAAATTTTATTTAGGACTTAAATAAAGGGAAGTTAGTGCCACAGTCTGAAAACTAGTCTTCAGATCAAACTTAACTCTAGGATAAGTTCTGTAAGCTACTTTTTGCCCTCAAAAGAGGAAAGGCCAAAATATTCCAGCTTTTATCAACACATGCTGACTATTAGGTAAGACATACAAGGCTACTTCAAAAAGTTTATGGGAAAATGGAATTAAAAAATAATATGAATCTTCCATAACTTTTTGAACACCCCTAGAATAGGGCTCAGCCTTATATTATGACCAACATATTATGCTTTGGTTGTCTGTAATCCAAATACCTTCCTATCCTCCTGATAGAAAAGGGATCCTAAAAATTTAAGTGGGCAAAGTGTAAACATGTGAACAAAGTGATAATAATCTAAAAACAAAGTTCAGATTCAAAAAGGCAAGCAGACAAGTTGGGTTTTCCCCTCCTTTTTCTTAGCAGCCCAGTCATGTAGAAAAAGCCAGGGCTCCAACATTCAGGAGACGAGGAGTCTAGTCCTGTTTGTACTGAATAAACAACTGGCTTCTTGTTTGGGTCAATGCAGCCAAACCTCCCTGAACTCAGTTTTCTCATTTGTTAAATGACAAGGTCAAACAAGTCCCTCAGGGTCACTCTCATTTCTCTGATGCTGTAACATTCTCCTGTTTTAAAGGTACCGGGGGGAAAGGGGGAGGAGAGGTTATTTTCTTTTAATGCACTGCTTCTAATGAGATGGTCAATCTCATTTTTCATAATACGACTAGATCAAGTAGCACTTGGTCTACAAAAGAGATTCCACAAACTTGCATTCCTTCAGAAAACAGGGACTAGGGAAAAAGAAGCGGGGAGATCTGCAAGCAAGGGGAACAGACAGAAGGCTCCAAACTTCCTAGGATTTTTGTGAGGATTAAGTGAGATATTACATGTCAAATATTTAGAACAGTACCCATCAAATTGTTGGCACTCTAATGTTAACTACCATCATGATATTTTTATTTAATCTTACATTGTTTTGGGACCTATGCATGGCAATGCATTCTAAGTTTCCAAATCGAGATGCTGGTGATACCACATTCTCCCATCCCAACTTCCTCCCCTATCTTTACTCCCTATAAAAGCAATTGTGGGAGGTTACCAACTCACTAAAGGAAGGAGAGGTGAGATGAGATATATGCAGGAAAAAATGTCTCTTTTGGGTCTTTGGTGAATGTTCCAAAAGACAGGCGGAACCAAGGTGAACCCAAGGACATCAGCTGGAGTAAATCTGTTACTGTCCTCCATTGAAGCTGTAGTTTCTGGGCTACTATCTCACTGACCTTATATTTTCTACTGTCTTCATTGGCTTTTGGATTTTCAGAATCTGAAATAAAGTTCAATTTCTTTCACTCATAGTATCCTATTTAATTTCCTCGAGACTAGTTAATCTGTAGATGCCATGTAGGTCTCTAACCTTAGTATTAAAAGAATTGAATTTCTTTTCATTGATTCAAATTCAGAAGACTACATATCTACTTGCAAACATAAATGTTAATATGAAAATCCAAATCAGTGCTCTCTACGATAAAGAATAAAAATGTCAATGGAGATGAAACCAAAAAAGGCTGAAAATCCCCTCTTGGGGCCCTTGATGGGCGTGCTGGACTTCTCACCCCCAGTGGCCTCCATGGATGGCAGCAGCTTCAGGATGTGTCTGTGGTGGGAGCCTTGCTGGTGGTTGACAACCTGAAGGTTTGGGAGGGTCTTGTTCACATCTTCCTCCCCCCTTACTGAGCTTGTGTTGTCAGAGACTGTCCCTTCCTGGATGCCACTTGGTACCTTTGGTCTAACAGAGGCAGAAGAGTTGGATTCTGTTGAGTTCATGCCTAGAAAAAAGAGTAAGGAGGGGGGAAGAGCTTTTCCATATTTGGGGATCTATATATTCTGTCCTCTCCCTGGTTATCTCCAAACTAGGCTGGATAATAAGAGATGAACTTTGGAGCTTAAGAATAAATTATATCACACATTTTCATAAAGGCCCTGACAGCACCTTTATGCAGAAGGTAAAAACTGAACTGAATGACTAAACTTACTTTCTTGTACCAAGACCAAGGACATCTGCAGGGTTCAACATCTGAGCTTCTCAGCAGATTCTCCTGTACTTCCTACACTGAGTGGACACATGTAAGTTCAGAGCTCTAGTTGACTCAACTGTTTTGATTATTTAGAGAACTAATTCACATTTAATTCTTTTGTTCATTCTCCTCTCTCACCTTTTGACTATTTCATGATGCAATGGTAAAACTGAGAATAGAGATAAGATAAAGGAAAAAGCTCAAATGCAAATACAACTTTGACTAGTGAACCATTTGGTGGGACAAGTCAGTGAATAAAATAAGGCAGGACTTTCTTAGCATCTGCTAACAGATTAAACAAGATTTGGGCTGACAGCTCAGTGGACTTCTTTCAGAGAAGCTTCCACAAGTAGTCTTCATTAAGGAGTGTGAGAGATGGGAATTTTAAGTCCCAAGTGACAGGACCTGGCCTGTATCAGGCCCTGAGAAAATCTGGCCATTTGAGCTTTTGGAGCCTGTTTCTTCATTTCAAAATGGAATTATAAGAAGGGTCATCCTGAAAGTCAAGTGAAGTCACACCTGAGAATATGCTCGGAGGCACAACTCAAGCTGGTTATCATCTCACGAAAACTAAATTCAATCAGAAAGTATTTGAAAATAAAAGCTAAATTTTATAGTCTGCCTGAGGCTCAAATGGAATTCTGAGAAAAACTGGGATGCTTGATGAAGGGCATGAAGTTAAAATCAAGGGAAAAAAATAGTCATTATTTTCCAGATGTGAAGCCTAGTTATCTTCAATCTGATGTAAATTTGCTTGCTTCTTGAAGCTTCTAACTTTGCTTCCCATTCTTTGTCCCACCTCGGATTCAACATTCATCCCTCCCTTCTAGATATATTGGTATTTTCTCTCCTTTTCCCTCTTTGTTTCCTTCTGGCTACGTCTTCCCAGGATTAACTCCATGTTAGAAAACTTTTCATCTGGAAGGAAACTTAAGCATCTAAATTACTCATTTATTTGGCAAGTTTGAAACTGAGAACTGAAGAGGTTAAGTGACTTACATAAGGTCACACGCTGCCCTTGTTTCTGTCAGTTTATTTTCTAGCTTGATGTGACCTAGTTTTTAGATATTTTATGTCTCCTAATAAAAAAAAGCTTCTGAGTCTAAATGTTTCTAATAGGTCCAAAGAAGCCAGATTTAAACAGACACAAAATGCAGGCCCCTTCTCTGAGGGGTGACTTTGGAATACACAAAATAGGGAAAACATCTTCAGTACCAGCCCACTCTTGATCCCTCCACTGGGCTCAAAGCCTTCCTCAAATAATATAATTCATGAGGTTAAGTTACCTTTGGGAACATAAGTGGAGGAAGGGACTTCATAGGATTCCATGTGCTCAGGACGTGAAAAGATGGCTGTGCCAGGGGAAGGTGGGGTCGTGCTGGAGAAGGACAGGAGTGTGCCACAGACGTTGTCTGTCTCCTTGGTCCCGGGCTTGATCACCACCACGTTCTGACTTAGACAGTCTGTGTATGCTTTGCATTTCAGCACACTAGAAGGCACATCAGAGAAGGTACCCCGAGCACACTGCTTACACCGCACATCCTCGGTCTCTGTCCCTTTCTTCCGCACACCCCAACCCACAGGACACACCGTATGGGGGGCGCAGGTAGCATTAAACTGGAACATGCCAGCTGGGCAAGTGCATTCTCGGTCAGTCAAGGCAGCACAAGGTAATTTCTCAACCATTGGCCGTGGGCACGGCTGACTACAGTCATGACATTTCTCTATGCCATTCTCATGCCTGGTAAAGGTCCCCGCAGGGCAACTGCTGCAGACACGCAGGCTTGTGTTGGTACAATGCTCAGAGACATAGGTTCCTGCCGGACACTTGTCACAGGTTAGCACCTGGCCGGTGGCACGGTCAACATGGCGGTATGTGCCAATGAGACCCAGGGCCTTCTGTTCTGGCTGAGCCGTGGTGGTGCTAAGGAATCCAAGCTGAAAGAAATAAAAGAGGAGGGGGGAAATAACAAAAACCAAGAAGGTGTTACATAGAAACAGAGGAGAAGAAAGGACCATCAATCCCAACACCACCATCACCATGCCTGATAAAGATCGGACCAGTACTGTATCCTTCTGACCACCGCTGCAACACAGTAGAAAGAAAGAAATGAAGACTTGGATTCCACCTTAGCGCCTGACCTACTGGCTGGGAAGCTCAGGTTTAGTTGCCTGACCTTTGCCTCAGCTTCCCTTTTTTCCATCTGTAAAATAAATCTGACAATACCTCTCAAATTGATTTTAAAAATCAATTGAGAATATGTATGTGAAAGCACTTTGTGGCTAGTATTAAAAATGCTATATAGAAGTCAAAGTCCTAACGCAAGAAGAAACTAATTTGCTGAATAGTCATCTCCCTTTTTCCATCCCAAATGTTAAGCTGCCATTTCTTGATACAAGGACAAAGTAACTGAGGACCAGGAAGTATTCAAGCTGCCACTGCCATAGCACCAGATTGCCTCAGACTGCCTGCTTGGGATTAACCCATAGACGTGGCATGATTTTTTCAGGTTTCATTTATGTGAAGCTAAACTTTTTAAAACTTTTTTTTTTTTTGGCAAAACAGAGGCAGGCCCTTGGCATTCTTGGCAATGTGCTTTAAACAACAGAGTTGATGCTTTTAGAGTCACACCCTGTTTGTTCAGCCTCTGCAGGCCATAGCTCCCAGAGCATAGACCTGCAGCCACCTAGGAGCCTAGGCACAAAGCTGTGCCTGGCAAGAGAGACTCAGCAGACACCTAGATTTCATTGACAGAACAGAAACTTCACCCAGCTAAACAGGATTTCACACTAGCTTTCAAAATAAAACTTGGGGGAAAGGAAATTATATTTCTGGTACTAAATACTGAGGTCCTTCTGAGAAGGGGGTAGGGCAGTAACAATATTAAAAGAAAGCTTTTCTGCATTACTGAAGACTCAGCGGTTCCAACTGTTTTCACTGTCCTCTATAAAATGGAGAAAGTTTATGTGTCAAAGAAATAATGGCTGCTTCAAACTACATGACAGGACAAATTCCTTCTAAATTTGCTGCTATACCAGTAACTAAACGAAAAAAGCAAGATTTCTTTTCAAAGTGATCAGAGTTCCTGTCTTCTTAGCACCTTGAAACTTAACCCAAGATTCAATACCTCACGCCAAAATTTAACTATTTGAACCAAAAGTATCTCCCTTGAAGTTGCTTACCCTATCCCAGAGCTGTCTCCAGTTAAATGACAATACTGAAAACTAATTTTCAGCTTATGAGAATACATTCATTTTTTCCTTAATCAGAGACCAAAGGGGGAAAAAAATGGGATAGTAGTTGATTTTCTTGTTAAGAAGCTAAACTACATCTTGGAGCCTGAAGAAAAAGAATCTCCTTCTTGATGATGATAAATTCTGTTAATGTCTTCCCCTTTCACTTCTGGATTTACCTTTTCTTTTTCACTCCTTCTATTTGCAAAATCAGTCCCAGCCACTTCTGAGCACAGCAGTTGCATTAGATAGAGGGAACTGTCCCAAGTCCCATTTGGTCAGTCCAATGAGGATAAGATTAGAGCCAGTCTCCCCAACACTAAAGACCTGACAAAGAGGTTGCAAAAGTAGATCTGGTCTGTACTTCCTGGAGTTCTTTATTATCTAGGGTCTACATGCAAAAGCAGTTTCAGATAGCTGCAGTGTTCTGGAAGTTTGAAAGATCTATAAGTAAACTAGATGGCAGGTTATTACATTTGAATTAAATGAAAACAGAGAACCAAACCTGACATCTTGCCAGGGAGTGGTGATCAGAAGGGACATCACTCTGATGTGTTGTGTGTTCTGGGTCTGCCTCCCTACTGGTGCGGGAGGCTGGGCAGCCAGCCACGCACACAACAAAGGGTGCTCTGCTGAACGAGAACAGGGGGTCACTCACGAGTCATAGCCTATGTGTGCATCGAGGATTGGGGCTGGGGCTAAGCTTCTTACAGCTTCATATATCTCCCCAGGATACGCACTTCTAAATCTAAGTTGGGGGTGATAGTTCTGCATCAGTCCTCTGATTACTGAATTACCAGAGGTCTCCCTAGTAATACACAAAACTCATATCCATACCCCCCTGCACCCCCCTCTTTCCATGCTTTAAGTGGATTTTTTCAGTTCATTGTTCATTTAGTAAAACAGATCAAGTTTCTAATTAAAGCAAAGTTCAGGGCTGTTTAATCTATATCATATTGGGTAAACCACTTTAGACAATGTGCCTCTAAAAATGAACGTTTAAATTTACTCATAACTCATACTAGAGGAGGCAATTCCAGCTCCTGCAAACAAAGCCAACAAACAATGAATGCATCCACAGACTTGCCTGGGCTGAACACTAGAAATGAGATTTATGCAAAAACCAGACACCATGAATTCACTGGACAGATGTTTATTGGAGACATACTACATGTGAGCAAGGCACCGGGCTACGGGCTGAGGACAGAATCTCGAAAACTCTATTCCTGCCCTTATGAAGTCGACGGACAGAAGCGACTACACCAGTAATTACTCAATTAGAATTGGGATTACTGCTGAGAAGGAGAAATACAGAGGCCTGTGAGAGGGAGTTTAGCAGATTCTTCCTAGCTCAGGGAAATTAGAGAGAGGTTTTGGAGTAGCTCTTTAGGATGAAGAAGCAGAAGTTAACTCCAGGCAGGGAGGAGTAGGAGGACATCAGGCAGAGGGAACCCCAGAGCAGAAGTCTGAAGCAGAAGGAACCTCAGCTCAAGAACTAAAAAGCATATGGCTCTACCTCAAGATGCAACAGAGTGGCCACAGTTAAATCTGGAGAGGTTCCGCATTGTGATCTTAATCCAAAATGCACTAAGAAGTCATCATTTGTTTATATTGGAGGAGGGAGGGGGAGAGGCATATAACCACATTTGTGAATAAAAAAGTTATCAGGCTATAGAGTGGGAGGTGAAAGGGTTGTTGAGGGAGAGTAGATGAAAAACCCCCTTAGAAGGTGAAAGCCATGGGCCGGCCTGTGGCTCACTCGGTAGAGTGCGGTGCTGATAACACCAAGGCCCCGGGTTCGGATCCCATATAGGGATGGCCGGTTCGCTCACTGGCTGAGCGTGGTGCTGACAACACCAAGTCGAGGGTTAAGATCCCCTTACCGGTCATCTTTTTTTTTTTTAAAAAAAAAAAAAAAAAAAGAAGGTGAAAGCCATGGTACAAGTTGGTGGTGACTTGAACTAGGGTGGTGGCCCTGGAAAGGGATAGAAGGCAACAGATTTGAGGGTTTGGATCAGCTGAATTTGGTGGATAATCACCTATGGAAGGGAAAGAGGAAGAAATCAGTGGTTTTCAAATAGCACTCAAGAGAGCACCGGACAGAACCCAGCTCTCAGGACTCCCTGCAGGCCAGGGAGGAGTGGAGGTAAGTCCCATCCCTGCCTCAATCAGAGCAGCTCTGCTTCACCAATCTGCTAACGGGGTTTGCAAGTAAAAATTCATCTGAAGGAGGATTTATTCCTAAAACAAGTCTGAAAATCACTGAGCTAGAGGGACCTCTAAGATCTTTTCCAATTGTAAAGTTATTGCTAATCCCATCTATGTTATAAAGCTGGAGGAACTGCTCCCTCGGTGCTTTTTCCTTACTGAAACCCAGCTGAGAGGAAGGGGTGGCAGCATCCCTTTCTCTTTACAAAGACACAGATGTCATCTGAGAAGAGTTACTCTCCTAAGGCCTTTAGCCAACCAAAGACTCATGATCTAAAAATAAAACTTTTCTCACTAGCCTAGTGGCAACCCCCTGGTTTCTAAAAAAATGGAAATCTGAAAATCATTCCCAAAGATGGTTCTGGAGGTGAAGCAATGGGTGGTGGGGATGAGGGGGATCAAAAACAGTATTTAAGGATGGTCCCTGTGTTAAATAAAAACAAATTCAGATGAGACCTAAAGCTAATGCTAGGGAAAGCTCCTGAGTTCTCCAGAGGCACAGTCACTGGAAAGTGCAAGCAAGAGGGAGTCAGCAAACCTGAAGCTGGGTCCTACCCGATCAAGATCCTTAATTCTCCCATTTGTACAGAGGTAGATAACTAGATCAGAGATTCACCAAGGCCTCAGACCTTAAGTGCAGCATCAAAATTACCTGGGAGGCTTTTTTAAAAATTCACATCCCCTGTCTCATTACCTGAGATCACTGTGGGTTTGCAATGGGATCGATAGTTTATTTTGTTTTACCTTTGGCTTGATTTGTTTTTAAGCTCTTCAAGTGATTCTAATGCCCAACCAAACTTCAGATACCCTGAACTAAGCCAGACTTCTCTGGCTCTAATCTTCTCTGATTTTGAGACACATTTTGGAGACAGGCCAATCCCACTGTCAGAGCCACTCCCTCCACCTCTTACCCAGCCTGGCACTTTAATTGTTTTAATATTGTTCTTTATTAATTAGTATTTTTATAACAAAAATAAACATTCCTGTGAAACTTCTAACAATTAGGAAAAATAGAGTAAAATGTTTGCCTCTGGTCAGATCCACTCATCCCCAGAGACTCACTGTTAGTTTTGGTGCACATCTTTCCAGACCCTTTTCTGAGCATTTGCACATAATACATACATACCTACTTCAAGTTGG